TCAAGCCATGGTATTTTCAGTAACCTCATATGGATGCGAAAGCTGGACAGTGAATAAGGAAGATTGTAGAAGGATTGATGCCTTTGAGTTGTGGTGTTGGAGAATACTGAAAGTGCCGTGAACTGCCAAAAGAACCAATAGATCTGTTTTGGAAGAAATACAACCAGAGTGCTCCTTGGAGGCCAAGATAGCTAAGCTTCGTCTCTCCTACTTTAGACACATTGTCCGGAGAGAGCAGTCGCTGGAGAAGGATGTCATGCTGGGTAAGGTGGAGGGTCAGAGAAAAAGAGGAAGACCCCCCAATGAGATGGATCAGCCAGGTAGCATCATTGATGGCGTCAAGTGTGGCAGCGGTAGTGAGGTTGGCCCAGGATCGGACATTGTTTCGTTCTGCTATGCATGGGGTCACTATGAGTCGGTTCCGACTCGATGGCACCTGACAACAACAACAACAATCTCTTATGAAGGAGCCCTGGTAGTGTAGTGGATTATGAACCGGGCTGCTAACCGCAAGGTCAGTTCAAATTTACTGGCCACTCTGTGGGAGAAAGATGAGGCTCTGTGTTCCCATAAAGATATATAGCCCCAAAAACACTGAGTTGGAACTGACTCCATGGCACATCACCACCACGTCTCTTATGAGATAAAATTTGCAAATATTTTCTATCCTGTGGGTTGTCTTTCCACTTAATAATATCCTTTAGTGCATACATTTTTAATTTTGGTGTTAATTTCTCTATTTTTTCCTTTCCTTATATATGCATTTTAAGAATCCATTATCAAATTGAAGGTCATGAAGATTTACTTATTTTCTTCTAAGTATTTTTTAATACTACATTCAGGTCATTGATCCATTTTGAATTCATTTTTATATCAAGTATAAACTAGCTATCCAGTTGTGCCAGCAACTGTCCTCCTCTGACGGAACTGTTTTAGCATAGCTGACCACAGGTATATGGATTTATTTCTGGATTCCCAGTTTTATTCCACTGGTCTATGTCAATCCTATGCTAGTACAACACTGATTTTAGTTACTGTAGCTTTGTATTAAGGGAGCACAGTAGTGGTTCAGAAATAGAATTCTTATATTCTGTGTAGAAGACTTTGGGTTGGTTCCTGGCCAGTGCACTTGCTTGCTGGACAGGCTTCACTGAAACTCTGTTAGAGACTAGGAAGAAAGGTCTGGTGGTCTCCTTTCTAAAATAAGCCAGTGAAAACCCTGTGGATCACAGCAGTCCCATCTCATCATGCATGGGGTCACCATCAGTTGGGGCCCAACTCAACAACAATAAGCTTTATATTAAGTTTTGAAATTGGGAAGTATGAATCCTCAACTTCATTTTTTCAAAAATTGTTTTGATCACCAAGAATCCATTAGTCATGTGAATCTGAGGATCAGCTTCCATTCTGTGAAAGAGGCTTTTGGAATTTGGATAGGGATTGTACAGGTGAAGGCTTAGGATCCTGAGGTCTTTTCCGAGCACGCATGCTAACCCTGGGCATGAATGTGCCTTCCTAAATTCCCAGTATGCCTGGGTACTTTTGAATGTCATAATTTCTCTAAGAAACATAAACATAATTTCTCTTAGGTTCCCCCATAGGCTTTGGGGGGGGCTCTGTTTTTTGACTCAATTGTTTGCTGCATGTAGCAGTGGCTTGTTCATTTGTCGTACAATGTTTTCGAAGAATACACATTCATTTTCTACCGTGAGTGACTACAGATTAGAAGAAACAACAGCAAATGTGTCTTTAGATCTTCCTGTACAAGCTAGACCTGACTAACCCAATTCTTTTAAAATTAGTATATTCTGCTTCCATTGGAACCAGGGACTCCAGCTGTCCATAAGGCACTGAGCTGGGAGAGAAGTGAAGAAAGACAAAGAAACACACAGAACTTTCCTACCATGTTTAGTGATGGTACAATGCTCACTTGGTGCTTAGAAACCTTTCATTGTTTTCAAGTTCTCACAAAATTGATTATTGATGGTTTTTGCCTGATGCTTCCATGTTTCTGTGGAGGGATGGGGCCTTGGAGATATCTACTCCATTTTCACTTTGGGTTGCTTTTTGAGGGCCATACATTGTATTTGAACATTTGTAGAGCACATTTAAGGCTCGACATAGTACGTTCCTCATTAGATTTAGTTTAGCTTCTTTCATAGCGATCCAACATGGGGTTTCTAAGAAGTGGCTAGTGGACTTGAACCACCAACCTTGTGGTTCCCAACCCAGTGCTGATCCTCCAGCACCACACTGGAGTCCATTGTTGCACTAGCACTCCCAAAGTTCCATAACACAGTCAGGGAGTAAGATGATTTGCTACTAGGGTCATATTTTCTGTCAGGGCTGGACTATTTCTTATTCATTTCACACCTAGGTATAGCCTTCTGGAATCCTGCTGAAAGCCTAGGGCTTTTACCAGGTCTTTTTCTCTTTGGTGATACCTGTGTTCAAGCTTAGTTTAGAAAACATAATGCACTGCCAGTTAACGTAAAGAGTAAGTAAGATAATGTATAACCACACTGTATCAATCATGGTTTATAGAGGACATTTGCTTTATTAGAGATGTCCAGGCTTAGAAGGCAGTAGTGGCTCAATGGTAGAGTTCTTGCAATTCATGAGGAAGACCTGGGGTCTAATTCCTAGTCCCTCATATTACAACACCTGTTAGTGGAGTCTTGAATGTTGCTGAACAGATTTCAGTGGAGCTTGTAGATTAAAATGGACAAGGCAAAACTGCCTAGCTATTTGCTTCCAAAAATCCACCAATGGGAAAAATTCTGTGCATCTAAACAAGTTTGATACCCAACCCATCATACGGATGGTATAAGACTGGGCACTGTTTCATTTCTTTATGTGCAGGGTCACCATGAGTCAGGGGCCAATTTCACAGCAGACATATTTGCATTAGGCAAATGTGCTGCACAAGACCTTTTAAAAGTGTTGAAGTGCAAAGATGTCAGCTTGAGGACTAAGGTATGCCTGACCCAAGTCAGAGTATTTTCAATAACCTCATAGCATGTGAAAACTGCATATTAAATAACAAAGACCATAGAAGAATTGATGCTTTTGAGTTATGGTGTTAGAGAAGAATAATTAAAGTGCCATGGGCTGCCAAAAGAACCAACAGATCTGTGTTGGAAGAAGTGCAACAAGAGTGCTCCTTGGAGGCCAAGATGGCCAAACTCTGTCTCTCATACTTCAGACATATTGTCAGGATGGACCAGTCACTGGAGAAGGACATCATGTTTAGTAAGGTGGAGGGTCAGAGAAAAAGAGAAAGACCCCCAATGAGATGGATTGGCCAAGTGGCAGCATGGATGAACTCAAGCATGGCAACAGTAGTGAGGTGGATTGGCACAATGGCAACTCAATGGGCTCAAGTGTGGCAACAATTGTGAAGTTGGCCCAGGATCGAGCAGTGTTTCGTTCTGCAGTGCATAGGGTTCACTATGAGTCGGTACCAACTCCATGGCACCTAACAACAACAACATCTGATTTTGCAGAGATATTTGATCTATCATTTTTATTGAAATATTTTAATACTTCCATAAGAATCATTTAGGTCCTTGAAGTAACAAATTTTTTAATCTCCAACAGGGTTTGGCTTTTTTTCATAGCTGTAAAAATCAAGTCTCTAAATGTATATATTAAACTCAATGTGGGCACAAAATTTAGTCTTGCTTCATAGTCCTTTAAAATACTCTGGTTTTTAATGCTTAAACATCTCAACCTCCAGAAATGTGGCCAGATCAAAAGATGTCATGGCCCTTCTTTCTCACTGTGAAGATTTCAAGAGAAAAATATGCATATACATATTTTATTATATACAAGTAAAGAACAATAAAAGTTTTATCAGGTAAACAAAATATAAATTATAGTCATAATTACTTAATTCAAAAAGCACTTCAATAACTGTAACTGTTTCCAAAGGCTATATAAAGGCCTTAGAATAGGGCGACACACCATTAGTCTGAACTGTATGTAGGTGGTACTCCCCCATTTTTAGGTAAGATACTTGCCTGAATGTGGTAAGATTCTTAAGATTAAGAATCTTACCTAAAAATTTCTCTGTGGTTCTCTCTAATATTACTGTCAATAATAAACATATCCTAGAAGTACTCTTTCTGAACATTTTAGATTAGTTTCTTACCAGATGAAAGCAGCTCATCTCATTATGAGGTCTAACCCATTAGTGCCAACAGAGCTTACAAAAAGTTAACTTCTCCAAATATTTTAGGTTGCCTTACAATAAGAATGTTTTTATATTTTCACAAAATGGTTTGGTGACAAAAAGTGAGAAAGTGGGCTGATGGCAAGGCAGAATAGGAAAATATGGCAAAGGAAGCAATACATAAAGACATAATTCCATCATCACAAGAAAGGAGATGGTCCTGTCCATTCCATATTTTCCTATATAAATTCAAGTTTAGAAGAAAAGTACAGTACTTGCTATTTAATAATATGCACGAAAAATACTTATTCATTTGTAATCAAAGGAATATTTTATATCAAAAGTTAGAAATGCATATTCATTTAATACAAACTCCAAATTAAACCCAACTCAATACACAGTGAACTATAAGAACTGATAGAAAAATGGGTAGACATATCAATTTCAATGAAATTTACAGTACTGCCCTGATGTGTCTTCTATTCTTGTTTTTAATATATACACAAGGAACAACTTACAGATTATCTTTGATTTCCCTTAAAAATAAAATTCCCAGTCCTCAGGTTAACTAAAGATTCCATCTAGGCTCGTAGAGGCAGTCTGCTCTTTGTAACGCAGGGCTCTGTAGTTTCTTCCACTTTAGGGCGTTCCACTGGGTTGTTGTTGTTAATACCTCTGTTTTCTTTATCTTTTCCATGTGGTTTTTTATGCTGTGGGTTTAACAGGAGAAATTAAGTCAACATAAAGTAGCATATGATACACATTGTTGTTGTTGTTAGGTGCCATCAAGTCAGTACTGACTCATAGCGACCTTATGCACAGCATAACGAAACATTGCCCGATCCTGGGCCAACCTTTAGCTATACCCTATTTCCAAAATTCTGTGGGCTACAAGCCAGAAATGTAAGCATGAAAATTTTATGAAAATGCTCAATACAAAGCTGAGCCAACAATTTGTTTGGCAAGTAAAAGGGAATGCCTTTTATCTTTATCATAGTGGACGAAGTGGGGTAAGAGAAATATTCATTTTCTGCATTATTTTCCAAGGCATAACTACAGAATGTTCTCTTGGGCAGTGGTTTTCAACAGGAAGTGTGTTTGCCGTCTAGTCTGGAGCTATTTTTGGTTGTCATACTAGGAGGTGGTACTGGCTTCTAGTGGCAGACACCAGGGATGCTGCTAAACCCTGTACAATGTACAGGACAGTCCACCACAACAAAGTAGTGTCTGCCTCAAAGTGTCAGTGGTACCACTGTTGGAAAACCTTGCTCTAGGGAAAAAGGGTTACCATGCAAAGAAGGCAATTCTATTTTAAGCAGAGAATCTGTAATTAGACTACCTTAAGATCCTTTTCTCTATGCTCTTTAAAAATAAATTTTATTTATTTTTTTAGTTCTTGTGACTTTTAACTTTTTATTGTGAATTGAGTGAAGGTTACATTCAATAAATCCTACAATTTGCTTCATCTCAATGCCCTCCATCCAACAACAGGTGCCCCACTTCCTCCCTCTGGTTCCACCCACCTTCTTATCCCTTCACAACTTTAGGAAAACTCTTGATTTAGAATGATTGGCCATGGTGAGCACACCTTCCTAGTGTTATCCAATGCCCCTACCATACACCTATCTACTTACTACTTAGCTGAAAATTAGGCCACAAGGGCAAGTCCTTTTCCAGACCTGAAGAGTAGTCTAGAGCCATAGTCTCAGGTTCCTCCAGTCTCTTTCTAAGCAATCTTTAAATAATTTTGAGTTTTGTTCTACATTTTCTTCCTCTCTATCCAGAGACCTTCCAATATGATCCTTTTCAGAGTGGCTGGTAGTGGTAGCTAGGCACCATCTAGTTCTTCTGGTCTCAGAATCGTGGATACTGACTGGTGTTCATATGTTCCATTAGTCAGTTCATTGGATTAATTGATTACAAGTCTCTTCAGTTCTTATCACTCTTCTTTCTTCCTTACATGAAGAGACTAATAGCCATGCTTCAGTCAGCTATTAGTGAGTTTTCCAGATCCCAGATGCTGCTCATCCAAACTGGATATAGAATATTGTCTTTGTGGACTGTTATGTCAATTTACCATGGTGACCCCCAAGCCCAGCAACTCATTGCCTTAAGATGTTTGATAATATCTAAGAAGGTTTCATCAATTTGCCTGCTGTATGCACTACCACATCCTAGCTGTGTTTGCATGAAAGATAATTACTCATATACAAATACCCTCTTTCCAATTCATGTATTTATGGGCTATATAAATATATATATCCCACTCTTCCTCCCTTACCCATTCAGCCTGTTTCAATCCATGCATTTATGCATAGAACACTGTTGTCCCAAGGTTGTATATATATCACTATTTACCTGTATCCCCTTTAACCCATAGACTTCCTAGTATCTTTCCGTATCTTTATTACTAATAATGCCACCATCCATCTTCTTGTGTATTCCCCTCCCCTTTCTTGTATATTGCTCCCCATCACTCCCAGTCACTGGAGCTAACATATATCTGCCCTCTAGCCAGTGAATTACTCTCCCCTCCCTTTCACCCCTAATAACCATTAAAGAATATTTCTTTGAATAGTGCTGGGGTGAACCTCAGTGAGCGTACTTGTGCCCTAGCTCTTCATTTTTTGTGGATGCATACTAACTAGAAGGATTGCTGGGTCATAAGGTATTTCTATTTCTAACTTTCTGAGGTAGCACCATACCATTTTTCATAATGGTGGATCAATCTAACAGACCCACCAGAAATGTAGGAGGGTTCTTACTCTCTCCACACTCTCACCAGCATTTGTTGTTTAAAGGTTTTTTTTTTTAACTTCACTGTTATGATGGTGTGAGATGATATCTCATTGTTTTTTTGATCTGTATCTAGGCTAATGATTGTGACCATTCTGCCTGAATGTCTTCCTTGGTGAAGTGTCTGTTCATGTTCTGTGCTTATTTTTAAATTGGAATGTTTGCCTTATTCTTGTAGAGTTGTTGTTTTCTATAAATTTTAGATATTAGTCTTTTGTGAGATATATCATTGCAAAAAAATTTTTTCCCCTTTTTGTTCTTTTGGTAAAATCTTTTGATGTACATTAAGTTTCTAACTTTTAGGGAATTCCAGTCATCTATTTTGTCTTCTACTGCTTGAATGTTGTTGTAATATTAACAGTGCATGTTTGCCATTGCCATGTATTGTTGTTATTGTTAAGTGCTGTTGCGCCAGTTTCCACTCAGAGTGAGCTTCAACTGCAACTTTTTGGTTCAAACTGACCTACAGCCCCTAAGTTTGTCCTTTTTTTTTTGGAGGAGGGGATAATTTTTATAGTTATAGGTTTTACATTTAGGTCTTTAATCCATGTTGCATTTGATTTTGTATATGGTATGAGACTATGGGTCTTGCTTCATTCTTCTACAAATCAATTTGTTGAAGTTGTTGAAGAGACTATCTCTTCCCCCATTTAATGTGTTTTGGCCCTTTGTCAAAGATCAGCTGACTCTATGTGGATGGATTTACTTCTGCGTTCTCAATTCTGTTCCATTGATCTATGCATCTTTCCTTATACCAGTACCAGGCTGTATTAACCACTGTGGCTGTGTAGTACATTTAAAAACAAATCTTATATAATATTTATCATTTGCAAGTTTTACTTCATTAGAATCCTATTTGCTTTATGGGACTCGTGACATTGATGTCCTATGTAAGGAAATCTGCATTTCACTGACACTGTCTAGGGTCAAAAGAGAGAGAGCATGGCCCATTATAGTGCCAACAGTGTTAAAAGGAGGCATATCGGAGGATCAGAGTAGGCAAAGAGCTCAGGAAACATGGGGGAATAGTTCAAAGGGAAGAGTCTTGGACGGGAGAAACCACCAATCTGAGAGCCCTTTGGTCTCTAAATATTTAAAATCCCACAGCCTTGGAAGTCTGATTATGGGTAGAGATAGACTTTAACTTGCATGTCAAATGTGGAGGGGAGAGAGAATTGACTTCAAACCCACTAGTTACTCCTTGGAAACCCTATACAGGGTCACTGTGTGTCGGAATCTATTCGACATCACGTAACAACAACAACAGTATCCATTCTGAATATGTAAGAAGAAGGAAGATAAATAGCTAAACATCGTAAGGAAGGTAAAAATAGAAGTCAAATTTTGCTTTTACTTATCTGATAGAAAACCATGTATCAACATCAAGATTTTTACAAACCATTTAAATTGGGAAAGAAAACGAGCTGTCCCAAAGATACGCATCAGATTATGTAACTGTTGTTGTTCAGTGCTATCGAGTTAGTTCTGATTCACAGAGACCCCATATAGGGTTTCCAAGGAGTAGCTCGTGAGTTTGAACCAACCTTTCAATTCAAACCAAACTTGGGGTTAGGTACCACACCAGGACTCCAATTACTTAAGTAATGGCTTCATATTAAAAAGAAAATGACTGGTTTAAATCAGATGGGGGGTGGGATATGTGTTATCTTCTATGATATAATCAAGTACCTGGAAAAAGGGAACCCCACCATGTGATGAACAATCCACACCAACATTTACAGATGGCTCTTGACTAAGAGGTTCTTCAGCAGTAATATTGTGCCCCAGAACTGCCTTTTCTTCATCCAGATCCTAAAAGAGGAAGCTAGATGAGTGATTAAATCCAAGGACTTAAAAAAATCTTCAAATCGTAAAAAGCAGTTATCATCTCTGAATATAAGACAATGCCCATTTTAAAACCTCAACAAAATTAGCAGTAAATCTATAAAATAATTAAAACAATCTCTAATTGTTTTCATATACAGAAGTACCTATTGCTGTTAAGTACTGTCGAGTGAGTTCCAACTCATAGTGACCCTGTATAGGGTTTCCAAGGATCGGCTTGTGAATTTGAACCACCAACTTTGTGGTTCAAACCAACCTTGTGGTCTAGTGTGTATCTTACAGCGCCACACCAGGACTCCTATATATGAGTACTAAAACATTAAAGATGTAATCTTAGAATCATGGGATTATAGTTGACTTTTACTTTCTTCTTAGTGACTTTATTTTCCTATCTTTTCTACAATAGTTAACAGCACTGATCAGAAAACGTCATTATCTAGATTCTAATTCCAGCTCAATCCTTGTGACCTCAGAAAACGAAGTCTTAGTTTCCTCCTCTGTGAAGTGGGGAGAATACTAATATCCATCTCAAAGGATTACTTAAGAGAATTAACTAAGTTAATGTATATATAAAGTGCTTAGAACAGTGTCAAGCACATAATACTAACACTACACATGTTCGCTATTATTATATATTAGTATAACAGTTCTTTAAATAACAAGATTAAACTAAATAGGCTCAAGGGCCAGGCAATTATTAATGAGAGGAAGGTAGGATTCAAGGGCAAAGACTAGTTCTTCACATGAATTTGATCATATCAGAAGTTTATAAGAATTTTTAAATTACAACGCTTTAAATGTTACCTGACTGGTCTCTTCTTGGTTTTCGGAGTAGTTGAGCATCGTTAAAAGCTCAGGCTGTTTCCTCTGTAATTGATCGATAAGGTGCTCACGTGGTTCCGTTCTCACCAGTGTTGATGGGTATAAATACTTTTTCCTCTGTGGTGTCGTACCTTTTGTAGACATTATAGAAGTAGGAAAATTGAAGTTTGGGCTATAAATGATTTTTTTCTAAATACGCTAAAACTTATACTTCCAAATGAGTCTTCTCCAAAACGACACCACTGCCATATGTGAATGTAAGTCTTGCCTGTCAGGCATATATGCCTTGCAACTAATAAGATTCCCTAGCTTGACAACTGATCATAAATAAACAATTATTTTCAATATTCAACCTACAAAAATTTGCCAACTCTTAAGGTTGCTATAAATTGGAATCGACTCACTGGCAAGGAGTTTGTTTGTTGTTAGGGTTTGAAGGCTATACAAAGATGTGTTGTAGGTTCTAAAAGGAGTCATGGAAGTATTCTGAGAAATGGCAACAATTTTAGGATAAATGTATCGTTTCCCCAACATGATTACTTTGAAACCCGGAGTCATTTCACTATAAAGTAGGCAAAGAAATGAAGCATTAATCAGTTACATTTCTTTATAAGTAGAGTTCATCTTCTAATTTACAAAGACATCTGCCTTTTCCTTTAACATTTTACATTTCCTAATTTCACTGAAAACTAAACAATAAATCAAATAGTTCTCTTGGGGGAGAAATGAACCCTATTTGTTCACACTATCTCCTATCATGTTTTTATTTTTTTTATGTAACACAGCTTTGATCTATAATTTACATAGAAAAAGATGTATTAACTTGAATGTATAAGTCATTGATTGTTAGTAAATTTAGTGTCTGCAGCCATTACCACAAGAAGCCAGTTACTTGTCCTGAGTAGAACAGCTTGCTATATACTTTCCTCCATGAAGCCTCCCCTGAAGCATGACACTGATTTTTGCCATGTCTGGTCACTCAAAATGGGGATTCCCAAATGTTACTCAAAGAACCCAGGGCAAATGAGAGGGGCAAATAACAAAATGTGGTTGAGCTCCATTAAAGGTAGATTTATTCAAGTATCTGCCCCCAACATTTTTTGCCATTAAAATGTCCTTTTTATTCACAAGTGGTGTTAAGTTGGTTCTTTCAATTTGTTTTAAAAAATGTTCTCTCTTAATGTCATCATGAATGTTTGTGAAATTTCACATAATGTGATGTCCAAATTTTTAGGAGTATGTATCACCGATATAATCTAACATTTAATTAAAACCATTCTGAACTCCCAATGTTTTATATTTGAGTTGATGACAATGAAGTATTAGATTCCTATAAAGCAATAGCAGGCCTCGATTTTCAAAACTGCCACTCTACAGGTATGAATTGAACTTCAGTAATTGCAACAATCCTATTTGCCTTTTCAAGTACCTGTTGGGATATCCAGTTTCAGGTCCTGTTGCAGAAAGCAATTAATCTTAGTCAAACCAATTTTTATGGCTTTATTAAGTTCTAGATTTCGTGACATCAATCTCTCTTCATCAGCAGTTATTTGATCAAGGAAAGTGTTACGCTGGTTCTCACTAGCTGCTTTATGGCTACTTGATTTTTCAGAAATCTCTGAACTTGAAGCCTCACAACCTTGGCTCACAACCTGCAAATAATGCAAACAAGGTTTCAGTCAGTTCATTACTAAAACAGATGCTGTCAGTGTTTCGTTCAATCTGTCATTTTCTCTTACCTTGAAATTTTCAATATTAGTTTTTTTTACACACACACAAGAGTGAGAAAATATAATAACTGATTTCTTTGCTTATTACCCAGCTTCAACAATAGTATCAACACAAGGCATAAATAAAGCAACATCGCCCACTTCCTCCTCCTCCCACTCAGGATTATTTTAAAGCAAAGCCTGCCAATTTACTTTAGTATATAGTGCTGAGAGATGAAACTTTCAAAAATTAAATATAACCACACAAGATCACAATCACACCTAAAATATGAACAATGATTCTTGCATAGCAAACAACTCGGTGTTCACATTTTACCAGTTGTCTGTCGCAAGTGTTTTCCACAGTTGGTTTGTTTGAGTCATAATTCTTTACTGGATTTGGTTGGTATATCTTAAAGTACATGACTGTTACCATTTTTCACCCAAACTAATTTATCATTTTTGAGCATGACAGAGGTTTTTCTCAATTTTCACCCACAGGAAACAGGTATAAAGACTGCCCCTAAGGAATTTAGGTCATAAGTCCAACAGGTTACTTCTTTTCTTTTTTTATTTCCCCCTTGACAAAGTTTAGTTGAAGAAACCAGGTCTTTTGCTCTATTGAATCTCTCATATTCTGGACTTAGCTGGTTGTGTCTCCTTGACATACTTTTCTATATTCATTTATCCTCAGTGTTTTTCCTCCAGATCTAATTCAGGTTCAACTTTTTGACAAGAATACCTCATAGGAAATACTGAAAACACAGAATGCCTGGTTGTATCTCTCATGCTAAGAATGTCAGTGATTTGAAGTGTGATCAGCCTATTAACTGTAAAATTTTCTCTAACAGCTGTTGACCAAATGATTTTACTGCTCATTAATGTTCATGGGGATTCTTTCATTAGGACTTAGAAAATAGTAATATTCTATCATTTCTTCAGCGTTACCTTGGATCCTTCCTTGGAACACTTTTGTTCATCAGTTAGCCTGCTAAACCAAGACAGATTGTGTTTTTGTTTTGGAAGGACATATATAGATGTGAGTGCTTAATTTCTCTTTATTTACCAGCTTTCAAAATAATGCCCTTCTTCCCTAGCATGCTCTGAAGGAGACATGAGGTTTTTAATGAATCCACATACATAAGTTTTAACATATTTGATGTGGGCTTCTCTAATTATATTATTATTCTTTTTTATGTTCAAACCTTCATGCTTTCAGGTTGGCTCCTAAGTCAACCTACAACAACTCAAGTGCTGTTTAATTGCTCCCTTACTTTCTTGAATGATATAAGCCAACATGTCCAGGCTCATCTTGTACATTTCCTGCCTCATGACTGAAATTAACCATTTCCTCATGAGCTAATTTGTAGAAAACAGTTTAAACAGCTTAACATTTAATTTTTTGTACCTAATTCATGAGAATGTTAGTAGAATTCTTTTATTGCACAAAAAGAAAAAGTAAGCCCCAAAGGGCTCATGCAAGTATTAAGTTCAAGTAAACCCACAAACATATCAAATATCATTAAGCAACCAGAACAATAAATACTTACAGCAATAATGGGTTTGAATGTACTTAGAGAAAAATAATAAGCATATATAAATGAAAGGTATTATGTGTCAAGACAAGGTGCCCTTCCCTGAAGGAACTAACAAGTCAAAAACCACAGGACAGAAACCAAGCCAGTGTTAAATTAACTTCTAGAAGTAGGAGACATACACCAGAGCATGAAACAAAATCCCATATAAGCATATCATGTATTATATGTAAAAGTTTAAGCCATCATATTTTTAAATAGTTTGTTTTGAAACTAGTTCTTAGCCAAACATAATTAATTTCCTGATTATCACTGTTCTCCTCACAAGGTTCCAGTTAAAAAGTTATTACCTCCAGTAAGTTCTGAAGTTCCTCTTGCCTTTTATTTAAGCAGGATGCCCAGTGGTCAGAAAAACAAAGTGTGCTTGTGTTCAGGTCCTGACATCTTTGTTCAGTCTCTTGAGATATTACTTCAAGGTTCGCCTTAAGTTTATCGCAGTGTTTCACAGACTCTTCAACCAATTTTGTACCTTCTTGGTTAAAATATATGAGTTCTTGGGACAAGCCATCAGAATCAGCACAGAATTTTGCACTATGAGAAGCTGTTTTGTTGATCAGACTCTTAGATGTCCTATAAGAAAATGGTATTACTAAAATGGGGAATTCAAATTCAAAGGTTGCACAACATGCTTAATGTCATACAGCTCTTAAGTGGTAGATATGAACCGAGAGCCCATGATCTTAGTCTTCTACACTGAGACTAGATGACATCACCAAACTGAACCAAACCCAATTCCAACTCATAGCAGTCCAATATAGGACTGGGTAGAACTGTTCCTTAGAGTTTCTAAGATTCTAAATCTTTACAGGAGAAGACAGCCTCATTTTTCTTCCTAGGTGTAGTGGGTGGATCTGAGCTGCCAGCCTTGTGTTTAGCAGCCCAGTGCTTAGCCCATAGTGCCACCAGAGCTCCATGGTTGACATCATACATGCCCTTTGAAAATGTGTTTTTCAAAACTCTTTCTTAGTCTTCCTCCAGGAGTGATACTATGAACTCTATGGTTAATTAATGAGTCCCGGTGTGGCACTGAGGGATAAAGCCCTGGACCGCAAGGTCAGTTTGAAACACAAGATTGTAGGTTCCCAGCTGCTCCTTGAAAACCCTATACAGAGTCACTAAGGGTAAGAACCGACTCACCGGCACTTAACAACAACAGTTAATTAAAATTTAATTTGTTTACCTGTTCTAGCCCCCTTACTTCTTGTTGTTAAATACTGTCGAGTCAGTTTCAACTTCTGGTGACTCTGTATAGTGTTTCTAAAGAGGGGCTTGTGGGTTTGAACTGCCGACCTTACAGCTCAATCTGACCTTGCACCCCAGTGATTATCCTACCAAGATTCCCCTTATTGGATTAAGTTATTTAGGGCAGACACCAGAGCTTATTCATTTCTGCACCTCCAACAGTGCCCAATTCATTACAATTCATATCAAAAGTGTTCACCTAAGAACTTCAGCAATATGACGGACTAGGCAGACACATTACCCAAGCTCTCTACAACAAAGATACAAGAGACAAAATAAAACAGACACAGATGAAAAACTGGCACCCTGAACTTAAGAAGAAAGGTTAGAGAGGTGGATGGAGTGCTTGCTGAGAGGAGAGGCAAAGCAAAGACAGCGAGAGAAGGAGACTGGTAAACAGCTGTCCAGACACAACTTGACCATCTTGTGAGCAGCTTTGACAGCGGAGAGGGGCCTGACAGAGCAGATTCACACAGGTGATGGAAAAGGTGTAATCTCTTCTTTCCCCCCATGCTCTCCTGGTAACCAGAAGTGTGACCAGCTCCCAACTTCATCCACCCCCAGTGCAGACCCTGCTCTCCTGGAGTATGAGCAGCGTGGTTGAGAGCCATGCCAGCGTGAGATGGGGGCCAATTGAGCCACTTTGGTGCTTGGCTTCAGGTGGGTGGGCTCCAGATCTACAAAACCTACAGAGCCACAAGACCAGTATTCAAAACTCAACCTGCACCCAGCTGCCCTGTGGTCCTAACAGACACAAACCAGCTCCATCAAGAGTCCCCATAAACTACTTCCAGATTGAGTGTCCTGTATATGGATAACACCAAGGCAGATAAGAACTCCATATAGGGCCAGGGACTCTGCTGTCACATCCCTTCCACAACCACTTCATGAAATCCTTGAATTGTTTTCCCCTCTGGGACCAACAACTGTACAGTTTGTTTTTTTTACAAATATAGCAACCACACAATGCCCCTGGAGACAACAAACAATTTTAGCTCAAGAGAATGACTCAAACAAATGACCAAGATACAGAGCCAGAAAATGATTCTAAGGAAAAAAAGGTAATAGAACTAACTGAAAAAGAACTCAAAAGTATGATAATTAAATACCTTCAAAGAATTGATAGAAAGATCAAGGAAAGCAAGGAGAAACAATAAAAACTTTAGAAGAATTCAGGAAAACACTACAAGAACAAACAAAAAGTTAATGCAAATTTTGACACACTAGAAAGCCTACAATTAGAAATCCAGAAGATTAATACGAACAGCGCAGAAATGGACACCACATTGAAAGGGCAAAGGAGTAAATGTGAAGCAATGGAAGCCTGAATTAGTGAGCTTGAAGAGAAATCTCTCATAATAATATGCTAACAGAACAATCAGAAAAAAGAATGAAAGAACTCCGAAGAAAGTGTAAGAATCATGTGGGACACCATGAAGAGAAACAGTTTACAGGTGATCAGAATTTCAGAACAGAAAGATACAAACACAGAGAAAATTGTCAGAGCTGTTGGAAGAAAACTCCCCTAATATGAAAGACAAGATAAGCACACAAGAAGCTGAACAAACCCCAAACAATATAGATCCCAAAAGAAAATCACCAAAACATACCCTAATCAAACTTTCCAAAGACAAAGAAAGAATCCTGAGAGCAGCTCAGGAAAAACGAAAAGATACATACAAAGGTGAACCAATAAGTTTAAGCTTTCATTTCTCAACAGAAACCAAGCAGGCAAGAAGGCAATGCGATGACATATATATAAAACTCTAAAAGAAAAAACTGTCAACCAAGAATCATATATCCAACAAAGCTCAAATATGATGGTGAAATTAAGACATTTCCTGATAAACAGAAATTAAAGGAATTTGTAATGACCACATCAACTTTACCTATTGATAATTACACTGAACATAAATGGATTAAATGTGCCAGTCAAGAGACACAAAGAGCAGAATGGATAATAAGAAAACAGGATCTTCAATAAGATGTCTACAAGAGACATATCAAAAAGATGGAGACAGTCTAAATGCCCATCAACAGAAGAATGGTTTAACATACTTTGGTATATGCACACAGTGGAATACTACAAAACGTTAAAGAATGATGAATCTGTGGAATACCTCACAACATGGTTGAATATGAAGGACATTACATTGAGTGAAATTAGTCAGTCATAAAAGGACAAAACATGGTATGAGACCAATGCTGTAAAAAGTTTTTTTAAAAAAGGTTTTCTTGATAAGAGAAACTATCTATGATGGTTACGGGGTCACTTGTAGGTCTTACTAGATCCCAAGTCTTTGATTTAGTTCCAGGGTGCATTTCCGTATATCCATTTCCCAAAATTCTCCAGTAATGTTGCTGCTGGTGGTGGTGCAGGTATCATATATTGAAAACCACTGACCAATCATGCATTAACGTTAGCTGGTTCTCAAAATAATTTTGAAAATAAAATAAACTTAATTCACTCAACTTTTCAGACCTTCATTTTTTATCTGTACTTGCTGGCAAAGTCCTCACATTTTCATTATCTCATCCAACAACAAAATACCATCTATAATTCTCCAGTAGTAAATCAACAAAAGACACGTAATAAATATCAAATCCAACCAACATGTCCAACTTATAATGTAATTTCTAAATATAGAATATATTGAAATCTTTACAATCCTTAAGATATGGAGGAAGAATAGAAAAATAAATGTTACTATGTGAAAACTGTCAAATTTTGTATAAATATACTGAAAATACAAAATAACCCCAGTAATATTATCAAGGAATCTAGAACAATAGAAACTGGATTTTAATGAGTTAATAGATTTTGCTCAGGAAGAAGCTACTCTGATTATAGAAACCAATGCAAGCCAAGACAAATGGTTCTAGAATGAAGAAAGAAGTATTCTTCTTGGGGTTATCTGCAATCAGTGCTAGCTCATAAATTAGGGATAGATGAGCAAATGTTTGTATAACATAATCTAACCTACTTATTTCTAGTGGATGTTCCAGATTAGTCCATTGTTTTTCTGAAAAAGGAGCGCCTCAATATAGTCTTCCAACTTAGTAATAGTCTTGGTATGACGCTGTAGGGTAAGCACTGGAAAGCTAATTGCAAGGTGTTTCAAATCCACCAACGATTCCTCGGAAACACTATGCGTTGGAACTGACTCCATGGCACTTAGCAACGAGGACTTAAGAATTTATCGGGAAAAAAAAATAATAACTTTAGAAGAAAAAAAATAAAGAATTTATCAGCATAGCTCAAAAACTGACCAACGCATCACACATACTCAAAACTTATTGTGTGGGAAAACAAAAAAGTATATGTACACTCTGAAGTTGGAAAAGAAAAAGCAAATTGATACCATAGAGTATCATTCAAAAATGGCTCCCAAGATTCCTATACACTTTTCCCAGATATTAAACCATACAGCCTAGATATTCTTGTGAAAGGGTTTTGCAATCAGAGATGAAACTAAAGACCCAAACCAGTGGCCTTAAAACACAAAGTTTATTTGGATGGTCAAATGAGCCCTTTAAAAGAAGGCGGCATCACAGGAAACGAAGTCAGAAATCTGAAGCTCAAAAAGGATTCAATAACTTGCTGGTTTGAAGATCAAGGAAACCAAGTGACAAAGAATCCAGGTGGCCTCTAAGAACTGGTCTCTACTGAAGAGGGGCTTCTACAAAATTATGAACTAATATAAATGAATGTAAGCAGTAATCCTTAACCCCCAGCTAAACTATATATTAAAGTCACTTGAGTTTTTTAAAGCTATCTCAATGCCCAGTCTTACAGAATTGGAGACAAATATTTTCAGTGTTCAAAGACAAAAGTTTTCTAGTTACTTCTAAGCTTCCCTCTATTTCATCATCTAACTCAGTGGTTCTCAACACTGGCTGTACATATGAATTAATCATGGAGCTTAAAAATAGTCACAGCGAACTCCAGACCAACAAAATCAGAAATTCTAAGGCAGTGATTCTCAAAGTGTGGCCTGAGAATTGTTGTTTAGTGCCTTCTAGTCGGTTCCGACTCATAGCAACCCTACATGGGGTTTCTGAGGAATTTGAACCACCATCTTGTAGTTCAAACAGACCTTGCTGTCCAATGCTTATCCTACAGCACCACACCCGGAACTCACTTGCATTGCCTGGCAATTTGTTAGAAATATAAAATCTCAGACTTCAACTTACTGAATCAAAAGGAAAGGCTGGCAGGACCAAAAACCCTTAAAGCCCTTCAAGTGATTCTGAGAAATACCTAAGTTTGAGAACCACTGCTCAAGGGCTAGGGTATCATTTTATAAAGCTCCCGCAGTAGCTCTGTA